ATCTACGGGATCTGACAGGAATAATTCAAGAATTCTCAAAGAGCTGGCTTGGTGTAATTGCAAAACCTCTCTTGATGATTTTTGAGTAGTCCTGGGACTCTGGAGAGGTCCCAGCTGATTGGAAGCTGGTGAATGTTGCCCCAGTTTTCAAGAAAAGAAGGAGGACCCCAGAAACTACAGGCCTGTCAGTCTCACTTTAGTGCCTGATAAAGTTACAGAGATTATTCTGGGAGGTATTGAAAAGCACCTGAAAGACAGCACAGTCATGCGGTCACAGCATGAAGTCTGACAGGGTTCGAGAAGCTTGGACAAAGCTTTTGGGCACATGGTGTGATTCTTGAGAATGGTGCTGTGCAGGGATGGGATCTGGACTCAATCCTTGTGGGTCCCTTCCAACTTAGCTTATTCCATGATTCTGTCATTGTGTGAAAGTCAAACATGATAGAAACAGCTGCACTATTCCCTTTGCCATACAGCAAGAGGGCATCTGAGGCAATGCCAGGAATAGTGGCAAACTTTGCTGTTCTGTGTGCTGGCAATACCAGGATCATGGCTCTGCCAGGGCTGCTCCAAAGTCCTCAGTGTTCTTCTGAATGTAGAAATTATTAATAAGACTTCTTTAGTCCTGGTGGAGCTCAATTTATAGAAGCTTTTCTGCAGCTTTGGAAAGCTAGATGACTAAATACTCATCATTTACTCATCTTCAACCCCACACGGGATTCACCAGTGGATAAATCCATCTCCTCCAGCCCCTAGAAGCCATGTGAGGAATATGGCCCAGGACTTGCACAAGACTGAAACATACAGAGGCATGATGGAACCTGAAAGCCTCTGGAAGGATTCCTTGAAAGAGGATCCGAGCTTGGTGGCTGTGGTCCCACGACTTGGCAGTGCCTTAGCAGGCAGGGTGAATTGTGCCCCACTGTCACGCTCTCTGACTGGCCCTGAGTGATTGTTCATGCCAGTGATTCCTCATTCACCACTCACTGTGGCGAATCAGGGAGAGAAAGCAATTCTCTGGCATTTCAGAGCATCCCCCAGGGCAGCCACCAAGGCCTTTCCCTGGTGCAAGTCCCTTTTTGACTAATGGAGAATAATTCCTACACTGTTTCCTATTGCTGGGGATGACACACAGGGTAAAAAGAAGGACTTTCTGAGCGTTAAAAGTACAGTGAATTCCAGAAGCTCATGATTATTTTTATAATCAAAGCTGCTTCCTGTAATAGCATCTCACATTTGGTTGTTGTTCATCTCCACTGATGGATAATTTAGGTAGATAAAAAACATTATTCATCAAAGCCAGGGAACATAATGAAAATCTATCTGAGTAAGGAAATCATGAAGAAATTAGTTTAAGCCCACATAGTCCTTCTCATAGGCAAAGCTAAATCCATTCTTCCTTTCACAGTACAGACATGTTATCAGTGTCCTCCTCCCCCATCTTCTCCTTCTAGCTCATAGTACAGTGGCTTCTTCACACACTCGTGAGTGTATCTGAGTCTAGCTGCCATCCTTTGCCAAACTCCAAGTTAAAACTTAAGCCACCAAGTTATCAAATGTGCTCAAAATGGTCAATATGTTGTCCTGGGACTTGCTCTCAGTGTCCCTAGTGGAATGCTTCACCTGTCATACATATTCGTGCATTAGGTCACATATCAGTGGAGGATATGAGGCTACAGAGTGGGAACTATAGCTCAGTGCTTGCAGCAGTTGTGTAGTGCTAGGAGAGAAGTCTGCAATCCTGAACCCAATATATATTCTAACTACTGCATTGAAAATTGGAGTTCTCCTTACTCAGTGGTTTATAAGAGTTTGGAGTGCTCAGCTCTGGCAAATGATGTGACAGAGTAGGTGGGAGCAGATTGAGTTGGTGTCTTCATGTCAGACTCTGGTACAAAGTAGGTGCCGAGTAGCTCAGCATCATTAAGATTGGGCATTTTTACACATTCCCAACAGCAAAAGTCAGGCTGTACATACTCCCTCAAAAACTTAGCTGTCAGCTGAATATCCAGATCTCCACTTACATGTTGGATGGCCAGAGGTGTTGCAGCTGTGCATGTTTATCACAGATCAGCAGGACCTAAAATTTAGATGTGCCGTTTACCCACCAAATCCTAGCTATCACCCCTCCATGCAAGTGGAGCAGCTTTGCTGAGGCACAAAAGTTAAGAGATCATTTGCACTGGGCTCTTTACTATGAACATTAGCTCCTGGATGGGCTGACTGCACCTCCTTCACCAAGGCTCCACAGCCAAACATCCACACAGTGTAATGTAGGCAAATGTAGCCTGTGCTCCAAAAAAACCCTAAACAACCAAAGTCTTTCCCAACTGATGGACCTTCTCCAGTGACTCAGGTCAGTGAGTAGCTAAGGCTTCCCCCTGCACTCCTCCATTGTGAAGGATTTATTAGCATCATGCCATGTTGCCATTAGCATCATCACTCAAACCTTGCTGTGCTCATTTTCATCAGGGATGAGCTAAACTACTTCCCACAACTACATACCACTTGGTGTATTGATCAGAGCAACTCTTCTGTTTCATCCTTGCCTATCACATGCTTGTGTCCCAGTACAGGGAAACCCTATTACAGGAAACCAGAAAAGCAAACGCCTAAGGGTAGATAAATGAATATTTAATTCAAACCAGCAAGATGTTGTTTGCAGTTATTTATTTTACTAAAATGGTTACATATGTTGAAACAAAGAAGAGCAATAGTAATAATGTTTGTTTTTCCAATATCATAAATAATTACTGAGTTTTCATTAGCTGTTGGCTCAGCACTGATCATGACTTTCGTTATTTAAAAAAGACACACATAATTCATCAGAATTTGTGTTTTCAGAAAACTCTAAAGCAGCAGTAGAAAAAAAAATAAATTAAAGGAAACAGTAACAAGAAATTAGGCCAAGTATTTCTTAAATTTAAAACCCACTTGATGTGTTTTACAGATTATTCTTGTGCTTTGATCATTGGAAAAGAAAACCATTAACAAGTTGTTTATACAATGGCTTGCCTTCTCCAGTTTTACTTCAGAGGAGTCCCCTAAAGTACCGTTTTTACATGAAAAATTTTGTTGTTTATACAGACAAACACACTGAATATTCCTAACAGAAGAGTTTGTCAAAACCATGAATTTATTGTCACAAAATATTTAATACCAGAATAACTTATAATAGTATGAACAAAAGTGAAGTATTAACTCTCTGCTATTAGTTACAAACTCACATTATTATGCCAAAATCCAGTAAAGTATTAAAAATTAATGTCATGGAATCTTAGACACATAATGATGCAAGTCAGCAAAACATACTTCAACTGTTCATACAGTCACAACATACATTTCTTGCTTGGCACTTTAAGTCAATGCAAATCAGCAATTTAGAAAACAAAGTAAAAATATATATGTACAAAATATTTTCTTATCAAATAATTTTAATTGTACACTAAATAAAACCAACAACGTTATGTTACATCAAGAAGTTTCCTAAGAAGTCACACCAAGGCTGATATTTGCAATGTGTCTTGACTATTTTAGTGCAACTGAAACAGCCTCTATTTGCAAGTTAGTTACATCATTAACATAGTCCTGCTTCCATTGATGTGGGAGTTCTGCCATTAAACTCAGCAGGAGCAGAACGAAAGTCTTGTCTTGTTCATTGATGGCTCACCATGAAGAGAAGCAAGGAAAGGGACAAGTAGGAAAAAACCTGACAGGATACCCACAGGAAAAAATCCAAATCCTAGCAACAATCAGCTCTTTTCCAGTTTTCTGTAATGGATTCTGTATAAATTGGTTTTGGCTTTGCCACTGTTTATTCAAGCACTGTAAACCTCATTAGACTATTGTTATATGACTTAAGAATAACTTGTACACCTCCAGATAAAATTTTAAAATAAACCTGGTTTTATGACAGTTATTACACTCAATAGCAGTCGATTTTAGAGACATGACATTTAATACATGGTTTAGTATCTTCTTAAAACCCTCCTGCCTTAAATGCTGAGATTTTTCAATGTTTCAGTTCCTTTTGTGATTCTTTTTTGGGCTTTGATAGTTTATGTTATAGGCTTTTCTTACTGAAATGTGAAATGTCAGTTAACTGTCCTCATTTATGCAGTACATACAAAATAAAAATGTTTAAACCACATTAAAGTAATAAGTTCCACCATGGAAACATTTCTGAATGGCACTATAGTTTTAGTTTTGTACAAGAAGGAACCAATTTTACTTCTATCAAAACCTCAGTAAGTCACTAGTAAAGCTTTAAAATTATAGAAATTCAACTTGAATTTACAACTAGTCTGACTAAAACCTTCTCAACTAGAAATCTTTAATGAGCAACACAGCTGAGAGCATATGTATAAGTTCAAAATAATCTGAACAATTAACTTATTTCCTAAATTTGTGTGTTCTAGAGTATTGCACTTTTCAAAGGAATGATTTTGGTATTTTAATATACTGCATATACAGGTAAGAAACATGCATAACAACCTTATTGTCACTTTGACAAAACATACTGTACAATTTTTATAACACTGTTGATTTAAAAAAAAAGAGAGTGAGAATGATGTAACGATTTCATTAAGACTCGTCAATTTGTACAAGTCAAATAAGCACAACTCTCCAGGGCCTTCAGCAGTAATGTGTTTAGCCCTCGGCTGCTTAAGCCCACTTGGAATAATATACAAAGTTTAAGCATTATGGCATTGTCATTTTGAGGCATAACACTGTTGTACTATGCCCACGTTATAGCTTATTTTCTCAAAGCAAGGCACTTACTGTAATAGCAATGCAAACATCTTATGCGCACTTTGATTAACATAAAATAAGTTAATGTTTTGATAAAAACAGGGTTTTTATAATTTACATGCCTTTTATAGAAGCAGTTGAACATTTCATTTAATGCAATGAAAACATCTGAGTCAGAAGAGACCTTAATTTTTTAACTGACTATTCTGTAAAAGGGGGGTTATTTTCCACATTTTCCTCCTGTCTGTGAATCTGATTTTGCTGAAAACCAATCCTGTGAGGAAAATGTCTGTTTGATGTGAAAAAGGCAGAGGACCCATCCCTTAAAACTGCTGAACTAATGGCACTTTAACAGTCTTTACTTCTGATATATGTGATGATTTCTGAATGATGCAGCTGGTAGTTCCCTGCAGTTTATCCTTCCCCTGGGCAAGGTTCGTTAGGGCCATAGCTGCGTTGATCTCCTTCCAGTACGTCTCATCTTTGCTGGGTCCCTTTCTGTTAGCTGTGCTAGATTCAAGCAACAACAAATATTTACACACACATCTTAAAGAGCCACATGCTATCAGGAAAACTGTAATAACAATAGTTTTGTAAAACTATGAAGTCCCTTACTCACCTTTCACACTTATTTGGTCCATTCTCCAGATTTTCTGAAAACAGGAAAAAAAGAGTCTATTTTATTTTAATAGTTTTAAAAACAAGCATGTTCAGGGAATAGGCATATTGAAAAACAACCCAAGATTTATTCCAAAATTGATACCAGATCTAAAATAAAATATTTGCTTTGACACACAGAAAGGACCAGCTTCACGCAGACATCTTCCTGGAGAAAGCTACACTGAAGGTGTAACTGTTCTTGAAGGTTCACCTACATTTTGCAGGGTAATAGAGAAGTTCTTCAAAACATATTTATGTTTTGAATACCAAGGACATAAGGAATTTCAAAACCTAAAAATAAAAATCAGATTCATTGCCTTTCAGTGAATGCCTTCTAGTATGCACTAAAAATAGGACACTCACCCATGCACACAACTTGTGTGTGGGTTTTAATGCACCCCTTTAAAGCCCAGGCAGAGCCTCAGTCACAGTGGCAGCTGAGGGGGACACAAGTAACAAGCACACCTGGTTAGCAGCCCTCAGAGATGAAATTGCATCACAAGCACAAACTACACTTCCTCATCAAGAGTCATATTTGTTCATTCACCAAGTCCTCACATCCCAGAGAAGCCAGAAATATTTGCCAGGCAGAAATGTAAAAGCTTTATTCAGTGGGTTTGCTATCCTTACACAGAAATATATTATAGAGGAGCAAGAAGGCAACACCCAACTGCAGTACCTATGGAAAACAAGTTAAACCAATGAAACAGCAATGGCATGAGCACTAACAGCTACAAGACCCAAAAAACTCTAAACACAACATAAATCTCATAAAATAATGTACATCTTTGCGAGGCCAGATTCCCAAATACAAATCAAACTTACTGGTAGATTTCCATCAGATTATCAATTAAAAGTTAATCTTGTCTTTAAACAGACCTTCCAGAAGAATAACCCTTGGTATCCCTCCCCTTAGGAGCAACCTTGCACACCACAGCCAGCAGCCCATTGTCTCCTACAGCCAATCATTCAGCCCAGCTGCACTGCCCAGTACTTGGAGGTGACTGCTGGAGACCACAGTCCCACTAGAGAACCACAGGGAGACCAGCTGCAAGTTCAGAGATCAGCTCTTTGCCAAACTGTTTCATCCAGCAGGCCTCCGTCCCTTTGCAAAACAGCTTTAAAAATAAATGTTCGCAAGTCACCAAGATTTAAGTTTTGTTCCTGAAGTGCATGGCATAAATCCGTATCTCTTAGAACAATGATCTCCTAGATCAATGCTAGATCTCCTAGATCTCCTAGATCAACGCTTGAATGGGATTCAAGAGGGGGAAGAACAGCCTGTGGAGAGGACAAGAAACCAAGGATAAAAGAAACATTTGATTCAGAAAGAGGTACTGGATGGCACAAAAGGTCTCCTTCTTTATGCTGTACTTGGTTATGAAGAATTCTTCAGCCCTGCTTCATTGTTTATTTTTTAATTATAGACAATTTTCAAGACGAGGTTTAGGGCTGAATAGGTCAGTAGGTATAGAAATGGAAATGGCAAGTAATAGAGAACGTCATTGCCAGAGCAAACCTGGATATAAATACCACTCTCTTAAGCATCTGTCACTTTCTTTTGCTGTTGGAAAATATTTCCTATGAACAAAAAAATTGCTTGTACAAACTTCTGAGGGAAGTAGGTGTGAATGGTGACACACATTCCAAATCCAGAGTTTATTTGAAGGAGTATTTGCAAATATTTTTTATTGGTGTTTAGCCAGCTCTAAAAGAAAGCAACTTGCCCATGGTATATAAAAGCAGTAGCAAAACTAAAAAATAAAATCCAGGAGGAAAGGCTGCCCATTCTTTTATTTTAGTGAAGATTTTTCTTGAATCACACATATTTTATAATTTTGTTTGGATTTTATGTTTTTTTTCAAACCATTTATGTCAAAAAACTAAAAACTAGGTTAAAATAAAATCATCACTGATAATTTGCAAAGCTCTGGCTAATAACTGTTCTCAAAGCATGTTAGTACAATAAAGTCTGAAAATACATAATTTCAAAGAACAGACCCTCTTTTCCTTGCCAAAAATTCTTTTCTGCTATATCAAACCTCTGACAGCATACACCAGTTTGCACTACCACAGCATCCAAGCAGCTCCTTTGTGTCTGAACATCCCTTAGCAAAGGAAATAAGTATTACCATCTTTTTTTGGCTGGGGATAATCACAGTGAGAGAGACAAAGACCTTTCCTCATGCTTTCATTGACAGCGTGCCAGTCAAACCAACTTGATGTGACTCAAAGCAAAAGTGGGGTTCACTTCACATGCCATGAAACTGCCATCTAAGTCATGTATCTTTGCATTTTTACCTGTCAGGACTCCATTCGTAAACAACAGAGATGTCCTCCAAGAAGTGAATTCAGCCATTCTATTTAACAGTACAGCCCAATGTCCCTGAGTGCTGCTACAAAGCCAAATCCCTATATCCTCTTCTGTGGCCCTTCCTCACACCTCTGTTCTTTAGGCAGCATTATCATCCATGTGGATATGCTGAGAGCTGGATGGGGGGAGGATCATATCTCTCCTTTGGCTATTCAGTCTATCAATGATTCATATCTATTTTTATAGAGAGACATTAGTACACTGCTAGTATAACTACAGCCTTAATGGCTTAGCTCAGACTGGAAGAAATGCAGGCTGATCATGTCTGGCTCTTCACTGACCAGAGAAAGAACATAACGACAAAATGTTATCAAATGTATTTAAACCCACAAAATTGTGAGTCTTACCCAATGTTTTGCTTTTTTTTTCATCTTTTATAATCTATCTGCTCTTCCTCCAACTTCTAATTAAAATTTTTTATAATTGAAGCTTTTGATATTTGAGGTATCTGCACGAGAATTGCAAAGTATATTTCAACTGTAAAAGCAACATTTTGGTGAGATTGCTCCATGAAAGTAATCATTCTCAAAACAGAAAGTGTTCCTTTTCTTGACCATCACATAACATGTTCCTAGATTTCATCTCTGAGGCAATAAGGAAATGGCAGTGGGGCTGGGTAACCTCTTTGGAAATGGTGATGAAAGGAATGGAAAAATGTTGGAGTATCCTCAATCCCACCAAGTAGCCTCAGTGAGGACTCACCCCCGAGTAAGTGCTGGTGGGCACTCCACTCATGACCCTCTCTCCACTACATGAGAAGCAGCACTTTAGCAACCTTGAGGTAACAAGGTTGCACCAGAGCTGTTCTCTCCAAGCACCTTTAATCTCCTACACCTTCAGTGGCAGCACCTCTGGTCTCTGCCTAAAGAGAGTGGCTTTCTCACCAGTCAGATCAAGGCAAGCTGTCACACAAATTTAAACCCCTACAGACTTGTCAAGCTTAGATCAGTGTGTCAAATGACTCCTGGGAAAGCCAGCACTGATGAATTATTTTATTCCACACTGTTCCCAAGACTAATTTAATAGGTTAAAAATGACATTTACCCTACTCCATACAAACACGAATACATTTTAACAGCATAAGCTGGCCAGTACAAATAATTTTCCCAAACAAACAACAGCAGTGTTCAATAACATATTTAGTATTTGAAACCAGAAGAATCTGCTGCTGAAGGTGTTTTGTAGTGTCTCAGAAAGGATTATGCTTCTTGTCAAAGGATGGTGGTAGGCTTTCAACATATATTGAGATCCTATAATAAATCTATTTAATATTAAACGTCAGAAATACCTTTTTGCTACAGGTTTGGAAATCACTTAAAACAGTGGTCATTTGCTTCATAGCCAGAAAGTTTTAAACACTGTGAAAATGGAAACTCAGTCATTTAAAATTAGAGGTTGTCATTTATACCTCACTTTCTGGTGCTTCATTCTGCTCCCAGTTGTAAGCATCCAGAGAATCAGCTTTTGCCTGGCCAAGAATGTCTCATTCTGCTCTCAACATCCACCCAAAGAAACCAGCAAGGCAGGATATTTGTTCCCTCTTGTTTATAATAGGAAGTCACTATAAATCACCTACCAATGGAATTCTGTATACCTTTCCATTAGTATGAGTTTTCAGTATACAGTTTACTGTAGGGCATAGTGCCAATAGTGTAGACACCAGACAATACCAGCTTTGTCATACAGCATGGCATTTTTCAGGACTCACATAATTATTAATAATATACATGGCATCTTTCTTTTTCACCATGAATTTCTTAATAAATATTAACTGGCTGATCCTGACAACTTTCTTGCAAGGTAGTCTGCTGTCCCATTTTAGCAGAGATGGAAATGAGTCTCAGAAGTCCGAAGTCAAAATACTGCCTAGGCAATATTCTGACTGTTTCAAAAGCATTTAAGAACAGAATTGCCCAGGATTTCTCTTATATTTAAAATGTTTTCCTTTGTTGTTCTGCGATCAGAAAGGACCAGCCAAAGAAAATGAAGCCCAGCGTTCTTGCAGGCAAACCATCCTTAAACTGCACAATAGCATCACAGACCTCCAAGTTACTATGCACAAAGGTCTCTGGTGACATGGAGCTTGCAGCACGTTCAAAAATTTCAGAACAAGTCAGACGCTTCCTGTTCACTGCATCCAGACTAATAATTTTTATATACTTGGATGACTTCAGGGGTGTGCTAAATAATGTTAATTACAGTTACATTTCATCATTTGGGTTTGAGAATTCTAACCTATGTGTGTGTGGTGATGAACTACACCTAAGGCCCTGCTGGGAAGAGCAAAGGCAAGACTGACCCCTTCTGTAGCACCAAGCAGCCTCCACCCTGTTCCCCACTCCCTGTGGTGTCCAGCTCAGGCTGAGCCACAACAACTGGCTTAAACCCTGCTTTGTGTTATCAGGTAACACTGACAAAGCAAAGATGGCTTGAAACCAACAGGGGAAAGAATGTGTGAATGAGGGAACGAGACAGAGAGGGAAGGGTACAGAACATTATGTAGTGGGGAAAAAATGGACATAGAAGTCAAGACACAGTAGGTCAGTCTCACATGACCATCATATTTTTTGAAGCTACTTAAACATGTACAGATTCCTGATGAATTACACGTCTCCTATT